AAGCATCATCAAAAGTTTCGCAGTTTTGCGATTTGATATGTAATTTCAAGTTTGGTTTCAAACGCTCTAAATTCTTCCAAGAGTCTGTCTTGTACCATGTTTTGGGTGCCCCGTTTAGCAGCTTTTGAACAACTCCTCTCCTAAGACGGTTACTAAATGAGTGCACATCTTCGCTTTTTCTTAGCCTACAGTGCGTAAAGCGCATTTACCTTACATTGCTCAGGATGCGGTACAAGAATTGCGAATGAGATCCTCAAATTGACGATGCCATTCATTGAAATCTTGGGTGTTATCACCCAAGAAATAGTCAATATGTTTGGGTGCGAGCTTCCCGAGGGTAAGGCCGCCATAGGTTTGTGTCAGAACATTCACCTCAGGTGAGGACATGCCTGCACCGGGGAATAAAATCGAATTGACTGAACTCGCTGTCTCCGGAGGCGACGATCGAGAGTAGTCGGTGTTGTTGCGTTGTAGTCCGTGAACGAGTGTTGATCCGAGCGATGTTGAGTTGATTGTGGAGAAGACGTTGCTCCTCCATCCTCAGCTATGGAATGGGTGCCGGTCTTCCTGAGTCGGGATTTTATATAGGGTACTCGATGGTATGTGCTCTTTGTGCTCGTCGCATCTTTGTTTCTCTCACTCGCAACATGTGCTTGATGAAAGTTTAGATGAGAGAGTGCTTTGTGAGAGTGTTGCTCGAATAAAGAAACAAAGATGCACACTTGAGAAACATGGATGTTTACGATTCTGAGCATAAAAGGAATTTCAAACTTGAAAAGGAAGACGTGCATTTGCTCGCGAGTGTTTACTGCGTAGAAAGAGTTTGCAAAAGTTTGCATGAGACAACGAGCTGGCTTGAGTAACAAGAGAGTGGAGCGCTAACAAGGAAAAATCTACTCTCAGCTGTTAAGGTGTATCGCCCTGTAAGGTCGCCGGCACCTTCAGGATCAATTAGCTCAGGAGAGTACCTGTTGATAAGCGGCGGATGGCGCAAGGCGATCGAATTGTCTCTCGCTAGTCCAAGGAGGGTTCAATTCCTCTCCTGGGCCAAAGCTTTGCAATGTTCCAGCTCACTACTGCATGGATTTCCATGCCTACCCTCCATCAATAACCTTCTTGCAAAGTGGGATGCGCCGTATCCGTCGCTTATGTTCTCTGGGCCCTCCTGCCTTTCGGAAACGGGGGGTGGGGGGGGGCATTATAGTCGTAAAAAGGTGAGGGTTTTGGAGGATAGATAAGTGATATAACAGGTCTTTCCTAGACTACAAAGAACACGGGAATTGATTGCACATGTGCTAGACTATCCATTTCATTTGGAAACTTACCCTTTGAACAAAGACTGGTATAACAATACCAATCTATTACAACTGTTTGTGTTTCAGGTCCCATAAAGGTGACGAGAAGAGTGAGGAACTTTGATCTCAATTCTTGTGTACAACAAATCAGCGAAAAAGATACCCACCAGAAGTACAAAATGGTAATTTTGCGGAGAAAATAAAGAGAGTTTATAATCTGAGAGGCTGCAGTCCCCCAGACTCCGCGCTACAAAATTTTCTGCCCTCTCCCCGGTCGAGGTTTAAACCGGTCACCTCATGGGCTATTCCCATGAGGAATCCATCTTCTAAGAAGAGGGAGAGTCGGTGGGATCGCGGACTACTATGAGTCCGCACTCGCTGCTACCACTTACGGATATGCTGTCACCTTCTTAATGACAGATACCATATTAGATAAC